GCTCTTGCTTTTTATTTTCGTATTCAAAATAGCTCTTCACCTGCACTTACAAGTCTTCTCCCGACACAAACTTCGAGACCACTACGCCTTACTCGGTCAGTCTCGCAGGCACTCATTCCAGTTCCACAGTACAAAAATAACTATGGTCAGAAATCGTTTTTCTATACTTACACTAAAATTTGGAATGACATTCCTTATCAAATTCGAACATTATCGTCCTTCGCATATTTCAAAAAGTCATATAAACAGTTTCTTCTGACTAGTCAAACTTGCACACATTGATTGCTCCTGTACTGTTTTTAGTCTTGTTTTTCCGTATTTTATGTTTTGTTTATATCTATCTAGTCAATAACAATGTCTTGTATACATGTGCTGAAATTCTGTTTATTGTTCTATGTTGCTGCAGAACAGGAACCTGCTGTAAACCAGTTTTTAAACTGAGCCAGGCCCGTTTTACTGTAACTATGTTGCTGTTGAATTTTCCTGTATAATAAATGAAATGAAATGAAAAGAAATTTATTTGATCGAAAACAAAGTAAAAATAGTATTATTGTGAAATGTTATTACAACTTAAAATAACTGGGCTTTTTATGTAATTTATTCCTGTGATGGCTAAATTGAATTTTGAAAATTGAAAATTGATTTCAGCTTCATGTCACATGATCCTTCAGAAAACATTCTAATATGCTAATTTGGTGCTCAAGAAACCTTTATTATTATTATTATTATTATTATTATCATTATCATTATCAATGTTGAAAACAATTGTTCTTCTATTTAAAAAAAACCTTGATGCATATTTTTGTCAGGCTATTTAAATGATAGAAAGTTCAAAAGAACAGCATTTACTTTAAATGCAAATGTTTTATTACATTATAAATCTAAATCTTTTAAACATTATAAAAGTCTTTACAGTCACTTTTGACTAATTCTAACTAATACATCTTTTCTTAGAAAGCTCATAATTTCTGTTAAAAAAACTATTTGAATGGTAGAGTGTTCTTCAATGCTGTTTAAAAACATTATGAAACAAACTGTCTTCACCTTCATTAATAATTATAATAATTAAAATATATTGTTCTATATAAGTCTTCTAATTGAGCCTGATGACAAAGATCTTTGCCTCAAATTTTATCCTGAAAATTGGTTTTGCATCAACAAAAACAATTTTTGTAATCAAATGCTTTTTAGAAGCAATAAGAAGCAAAAAGCTAATATGATTCAGCACCATGGACAGCAACTGTATAATACATGTAGTTGCTGTCCATGGTACTGAATCTTATTCATTATTCTTTGAGGCAGGACATGTGGAGACTTCTGTTGAAAACGTGGGGAAGGCAAGATTGCAAAATGAATCATTGCTTGATGTCCATTTGATGTGAATGTAAATGAGTTGTGCTAAGTCAACATCAACAAATGCTTCACTAATGACCTGATGAAAGTGATTATGAAGCGTCGTTGCAAGTCAAACTTTCATGCTCTGCAAAAGTCCAACTGAATTCAATCGCAAAGAAAGAACAAATTAACAAAAAAAACCATAATGAATCATGCATCGAGTGGGTACATGCCAGATTGACATTTCCACTCATAAATGCACATAAAGATGGACAAATGCACTCTCAAGTATAGGGACTCTCCGTACACTAAATGTATGTATATAAATAGCATCGATGTCTTCTAGATCCTTTTAAACGTGAGAGCAATATACAATGTACTTTGAGAAAATTGTTAGTGAAATGAAAAAGATTTCTTAGAAATCTTCATCTAATTGCACAATGTTGTTTTCTGACCTCCCGAAAAGGCTTTGGCTCATGTCCGGCCTGCATGACTGTGCTTAAAGACATCGCCTGCATTCACATTTATAACAGAGGAACATTCTTGCCTACACTTTGTGTACAGATTTATTTTGCAACAATGCCTTTTAAGAGGGTCCAAGATGAAGAGACTGCTGGTGGGCCACATGCACTCAGAGCAGGCAGACAGCTGCGTTTATGATTGGTTCAGATGGGTTCCATATGGCAGGCTGCATGTGCATACAGCTGATCTGGTAGATTTGATTTTACGTACTGTAGATCCAGCCCGCAGGGGACGCCTCCTAAGTGTTTGGAAAAAGTATATATATTGGCAAAGCAGTTAGTTAATATGGCTTGACAAGGGGTTGGCTGAGGTCTTTGCGCTTGGCTGCGTGTTTGTGTAGTGTGTGCAGCCCTTAAACCAGCGTGCTGCTGAATCACGTTAATATTGTGGCAGCAACAAGGCTCACCTTTGACCACTCGCACTGGCTCACATGGCTTATGATGTCGCACAGTGAAGTGATGTAAACAAACTGACAAGAAAGGGTAAAGAGAGTAAGCAGAACAGTTGGGTATTCATTACAGTCAAGTTGTTGATATTATGGGATGTTTTTCAGATAAGCAGTCATAGCTGAGGATGTGAGCACGTGAGTCACGTGCCCATTTATGCTTGTTTATATTCCGGTTTACTTTTTTAGCAACATGGAGAATTATGTGCTTTGCAATATTTTGCACATTTTTAAAGTTTTTTTGTGTGTGTGAATTCACAGAAATATTAGACTTTCTACTGCCACTTTTGTCTGTTTTCGGTCAGTTGGACGACAAAGCTGGTCCCTTGATTACTGAGTGCACCTTAAGAATTACATATTTATACAATTTTGTAGTATCTAAATATTTGATAAATGTACTTTGTAATCTTTTGCTAACTCGCAAAATTAATATACTTTACATTGTAATGTTGTGTTGATTAAATATCATATAATAAAGTCAATAGTATTCCTCCATTTAGATATAAGAATATGCGTATCTGTGATTTTCCACTAGATGTCAGCATTGTACCTCTATATTTTTTTTTCCTTCCATCCATCCTATCCTATCTATCTGTCTGTCTGGATTTTATTTATATTCAGAATGTTTTATTTATTATGCAATGTATAATAAGGTAAAATCATAAATGGTATACAGTTCAACTATACTTTTACGTTTTCCTTATGCTATACTCTTTGTGAATTATTTTAAATAAACCTGCATTATAACATCATTTAACATTCACAGTGCAATGTTTGTCTGTTTCTTAGCGACACAGACTCAGGTTGAGGAACAAGCCTTTGAAGAAGAGAAATACTCCACCCTCTGTGATGCCAGGATAACACTCCATCCTCCACAATTGTACTTGTACGTTGGATAAGTGTTTTCATGGTGCAGTTGCAGAGCTGTGTGTGTGCCTCACACAGGTTTAGAGAGGCTCATTCGTTAGTGAAGAGGAGACAGCAGTGAGTGCTTGTTTGAGTGAAAGGGTAGTCATGTTGGATAAAGGGATCTGCAGTCATCTCTGAGTGGCGGCTTAGGTTAAGATGGCTTTGTGCTGATTAATTAAAAACACAGATGCCACAGCAAACCTGTCAAGTTCTCAGCAACAGACTGAGTTTTTGCATTTTAGTCATTTTTATGGGATGTAGATATACATAGGTACATTGGTCTCCTATGTTTTTTACATTGCTGTATAAAATGCCAACCCATACCATGCTGAAAACCCCTAAACCAGCCAAGCTGGTATTGGTTTAAGCTGGTCTTCTGGCATGACCAAGATGAAAAGTGAACAAAAACCCAATAAAACCCACCGAAAGACCGGCCTGACCTGGTTGTGAGACCAAAAAACCACTGGTTTAAAAAATTTTTTAGCAGCATAATCAGTCATCATAAACTAAACTAGCGGAGTCTCTCTGTCTGTCTATCTATCGTTAAGAGAATGATCATAGCCTATACTACAGTCCCCAACTGCTGCTTTTGTGCAGACAGGCTGTTGTCTGAAACACTTGTTGTTATGTAGTGCCTGTGCTGATATCGAGGACAGCTACCTCCCCGTGCATTGCTTTTTATGTTGCCTTCTGTCTAACTGATGCCTTGAGCTGTCATTATGGAAACTGAAAGGTGCGCACAATGACATCCAACGTTTTCTCGCTCTCTTTCTCTCTGTTTTCACCGCTGGTTTCTGGTTTATTTGCACTTACATTAATATAATGCATATTGCTATAGTGGCCTAATAAATAATAAGTGACGGAGGGATCATGTAATCAGATTTATAGGTTTGCCATCCAGATGATTCATTAATAATGCATGAGCTATCACTGCACATGCACACACAAACTGCGTTGCGGCAATATGCGCATGGAAAGATAACAGATGCAGCTGTAACATTTTCAGAAAGCAGACCATTTTAACACAGTATGTGTCAAGGGTGCAAGTCTGACACGTCCTGTTGTAAAATTCTTGCTGGATGCATGACCTGTTTGATTGGCCCTGCAATTATCAATTCTGCCTCCCATGACCGTCGTCTTTGACCCTTCACCATATGCAAATGCACTGCAGATGCCATGGCAACGTGTCTTAGTTATTATCCAAGCAACTTTAGTGGAAGAATATTTAATCAGTTAATCTCCACTGATTTACATTAGTTATTTTATATCGTTAACATATTAAGGAGTATAGTTAAATCTTCAAAGTAGCCTATTTAAAAACAAGTGGTGAATTAATTAATAATTGATTTATAATTATTACAATTATTTATTTTATATATCATTATAATATTTTAAATACCAGTATTTTATAACTTCACAACTTTCATTTAAAATTAAAACAAAAATAACATTAGTGTTTTATGTCTTTTCAGCGAAATTGAAACAGTAAAACAGTTATGCAAAAAAAAAGAAGAATCACGAAACAGCAAAAATGTAAAACAGAAATAGACGTTTAAAATCAACGTCTATTACTCTGTGTGAAACTTCATGAATGACAGGTTTTTAACTATTTGAATGCATAATATGTTAACATCTTTAATAAAAGCTATTGTCATACTGTCTGCGATTGTAATGTATCTGCAAACTTTAAATGTTTTGTGAACGTCATGTTAAACATGTTCATGTGCATGACCAGCAGGTGGCAGGATTTATGCCATGCAGGTGCGTGTGTTCAATCTCACTCTCTCTCTCTTTCTCCGTCTCTCCGGCCGTAAGCGAAGGAAGGACAGGCGCACCTGCATCTCTGCACTGACCGCTCATTCACAAGAGGACACTGCATCTCCACAAGCTGAATTTTCGCCTCATGGAGTTCTCACTCTTGCTTTATATCCCCGTGTTTATTTGCTAAAGTTTTGCCGAAGTATAATGAAGGTTTGAGGATGCGTTTTTTGGAGATGTATCACTGATGCGCATCTCGCTCAGTCTCCAGCAGAACACCAGCATGATGGAATAGGCGTTTTTCTCCCCTCCTTCACAATGGGATTATTCAAACTTTATTTTGCGCTTTGCGCTGTCGGACTTTTCTATGGTAAGCTTATATTTGTCAGATGTCTTATTGCTAGTGAATTTCAGCAACGGGATGGGTACCTGTATCAACTGGTTTTATTTTATTTTGGATTCTACTCAGTGGATTATGATCACATGTAACATTTATGCTATTTATACAACTTATTATATTAATATGTATAATAATACAAATATTAAAACGTGCAATTTATTGAAGTAGCTAATTTATAATTGTATAATAGGCTATTAAAAGGTGTTGTGTATGTGTGTGTGTGTGTGTGTGTGTGTGTGTGTGTGTGTGTGTGTGTGTGTGTGTGTGTGTGTGTGTGTGTGCATTTCTACAAATATAGAATGCGACTCACTATATTTAATTGTTTTATTAAATTCTGTTTGTAGCAGCTAAAATGATTTCTTAATGTTAATGTTCCCTTAGTTTCAGGTTTCGGGGTTGATCCAGCATTACATGTGGACATTTTCCAGGAGTTTGATCTTGTGAGGTCAAGTGCTGGAATCTCCCAGGTCCAGGGGTTCAACAATGAGAGTAGAGCATATCTGTTTGAAGGTACGAGTAACTGGCTTTTCACAAGTCAATTGAACTGGCATGTGAGAGTTTGCTTTTGTTGAAGCGTCACAGTGTAACTGACATCAGAGCAGCTTTCCAGAAAAAGCATTCGTACTGAGCCTCGTCAATTTAGAGAAATTGGAATCCATTGTCAACATCTGGTGAGAGGAAACAGCCAGGCAGACAGCTGGTTTAGAACGGCATAATTCCAGATCCCACTTAATCTCTCATGAAAAATGGATAAACCCAACAGTGAAACATCAGTCCCAGGAGTAAACAGGCTCCTGTGTTGAGCAGCAAGTTCTTGCCCATCAAAGAATTGTCATCCCATTCAGGAGATGCAGTTAATGAGGACAGTGAGTAGAGAAGGGAATAACATCTGGCTCCATGGCTCACTCTGAATGCCACGATGATGCTGTTTATTGCTCTAGAGTTACAGTATGATAAATAGGATCAGTTATTAAAGAACTCAGTTTCTAGCATTTCAAATTAAGTTTTTCATGTCATTGTCTGCTGGTCACATTTGTTCATTATTCTATTCTATTCTATTACTGTCAATGAGGGTTGAAACATGGATGGAAATAAAACTGCTGGATCTATTTGCAAGCAGTATATTTACTTAAACAAACTCAAAATAACACTATCTCAGGGTAACAGGAATAAAAAACACGCTGAACATAACAACCACAATGTAGCGATGAGATCAGACAAAAACTGAACCAAACACTGGGCTAAATATACACCGGGACTCACTGGGACTAGATAACAAGATAACTAACAAGACACAGGTGGCACACATGAGGGTAAATCAAAAACCATGGTAACAAATAAACACAAACAAAGTAAACTGATCTAGAGACAGTGAAAACCAACTCAAACACAGACCAAACATGACAATTACTCTATTATGTTCTGTTCATTGGTCTATACTACTAAGTCTTTGCTCCATTCTATTCTATTCTTTTCTGCTGTATGTGTGTGTGGCTGTTATACTGCGCCTAGTATATTTGAATATATTCTGTTTTATTCTATGTCTGCTGAATTGTGTTCAATTTTGTTCTGTTCTATTCTATGTCTATTCAACGCATGAATGTCTACTATATTCTATTATTTGTCGAGTCTATGCTCTTTGGTGTCTGATTCTATTCCATTCCATATGTCTGGTCTACTGTATTCTGGTAATTTTTGTAATTCTTTGTTCTATTCTAATTCTGATCTGCTGTATTTAATTCTTTTTATACTATATTATTTATGTAGTTTATTCTATTTTATTCTATTCTATTCAGTGTCGGATTCTATTCCATTCCATATGTCTGGTCTACTATATTCTGTTCTATTTAGTTTTTTCCCATTCTTTGTCTGTTCTATTCTACACTATTCCACATCTATTCTATAATTCTGATCTGCTGTATTCAATTCTTTTTATACTCTATTATTAGTGTAGTTTACTCTATTCAATTCTCTGCCATGTCTGCTCTCCTGTATTCTACTTTTTTCTACTTTGTTCAGTGTTTCTAATTTTGTCTGTTCTGTTCTATTAAATCAAATTCCATTCTGTTCATCTGGAGGGCTGTTTTAGCAGATCTGTCTATAGCATTGGTGTCCCTTTGGTGATTTATAGGTGGTTGTTTATCCAGATTGACATCCCACTTTGAGCAGTTTGGGTTAAGTGTCTTGCTCAAGGGCACAATGGTGATGGTCATTCTCTGCTTTCTGGCTCAACCACTTTTCAGCACCTTAGGACAAAACCACCAGCCTTTTATTCACTTAAGCTCTATGCTGTCACCACTCCCGTGACCTATAATGATGACAGATTTTAATGCATGCAGTAACGTTCTGGGTTTGCAGTTAGCCAGCATCTGTGTCATCACTTCTGTTCCGCACTGCAGTTCTGGGGAATGTATTTATACTGGATACAATCTACGTGTGCAACTGTACACCCATAAACACGCACGCATGCACACACACACACACACACACACACACACACACACACACACACACACACACACACAAAAGGTACACACTGCATTAGACAGACTTAGGATGCATACATATTTGGCAGGAAAAAAAATCTGGTATTCTAGGATAAGCAGAGGCATTTGATATCTGTGGAAGCAATAGTCTTGTTCTAATTTGGGCAGGTGGCACCTCCACAGTATTGATTGGCGCTCCAGTAAATGCCAGTGGGATTGCGGAATTGGGATCTAACAGACAGGCTCCGAGACAAGGTCATAAATGTGCAGAATGCAGATGAGAGACCTTTCAATGTCCGTCAATGACATCCTTGCTGTGCTGTTCATAAAGAAGGGGAAAGGAGAAAAGAGAAGAGGGGAGGATGGGGAGATATTAGAGATAATTCAAGGCTAAGCGTGCTGTTGTGACACTGTACCCAGACATTGAGTAAGTGTCTGTGGGCGGTATGAACAAAATCTTGAATCCAGTGGCGGAGCCAAAGGGGTGTCCTGGATACCACGTGACACCCCTGACATCTGATTGGCCTTCCAGGGTGCCACATCAAAATTTAATTCACTATACTGGCAGTTTGATGCGGATTGAAATTTCATTTCACCTCTTGTTGAAAGCATCAAATTTATTTTTATGTGCGGCGGCCACCCCATGTGTAAAACTTCCGCCACTGCTTATATAATGGAAAGAGTAATTCTATTACAGTGATGTATATGTCATGGTAGTTTATTTATTTATGGGTTTTTTTGTGCAAATTTAAGTGAATAATTCATCCAAAAATGAAAATTCTGCCATTATTTACTCATCATTCCAAACCCATATGATTTTTGTGGACTGCAAATGGTGAATTTTGGAATATCCTGGACACTGTTCTCAATATAATGACAGTGATTGAGGACTGAGGCTGTCAAGCTCCAAAAAGTGTTTGTTCCAATATTCAAACTAACTTTGAAATACGTATGATAAAATGTATACTTTTTACAATGAAAGATTACACTTGAAATATTGTTAAAATTGTAATTGTTGATTTACATGGGAAAACTTTTTAATAAAATAGCAAAAAATATATTTTCAAGGTAGATGTAAGCAACATCTTAATAGGTCAATATAAGCCTTCTCATTATTGTTGTTTTTTATTACTGACACATTTGGGGAGATGATGTATTCCAAAACTCTCTGAAAATACAGTATGATAATTACCTGCATAGTTACTAGAGACGTTTACCTTGGATATTATACAATTTGCATGCATACAAAATAAGTCCTCACATTCTTTCTTGTGGTACCAGGTGACACACCTGAACGAAAGACTCATTATGCGGCTCATTATGCAGGTCATTGTCTTCTCAGGTGTGAACCTCAGCATTATTCAGGATTATTCACGATCATGGAACAGAGCAGCAGCAAACAATAAAAGAAAGAAGTTTGGCACAATTGTACCTCTTCCGTCAGACCTGGTGCTGACTGGGTCTTTTAAGTGCCAGGATCAGATTCCTGCTTATTCGTCAGCTATTTGAGTATGCAGTCAAGAGGGACATTAGCTAAGTGTTTCTCCTGCCCGAGGATACGGCCTGGACCAGACGAACACTCTACGTCACTCGTTTCACTCAACCTGCATTCCCCAACTGAGATTCCATGACTCGACTTTGTGTCTGCAGTACGATCACATATTTTGCAGAGACTTAAAGGGATACTTCACTCAAAAATGAAAATTATGTCATCATTTACTCACCCTGAATGACTTTCTTTCTTATGGGATACAAAAGATGATGTTTAGCAGACTGAAAAGAAAAGAGTGTGAGTGAATGACAGAATTTTCATTCATAAACGGTTCATTTAATACTCTCATCTGCTGCATTGCTTCTGTCCCAAGCCTTGGTCAGGCAGCTTTGAGGCAAGGAATAATGGACCTATGTCTTCTGATTAATGCAAATGTTAATTTGAGGAGAGACACTTGTTCGTTTTGTCATTATAATAGGCTGAATAATTCATCAGTTGTATATGAGGGTTTTTTTTTACATTGGCTTTAAACTTTCATTACGGTACTGTTCGTTACAATGGTGTTAGGACACACTGTTAAGTGCTTGCATCATTAGTAGCCTGACTTTTGATCAATTTAAGTGCTTTTTAGATGTAATTGCTCATATTATTGCTGGCATGGATACTCGACATCACTAGAAAAAAACTTACCAGCAACCTTCTTGAAAGGTTTTTAATTTAAATTATGCCAGAATAGTGTCGACAGAGTCACATAATTTGCATCACGCGGTGTTTATCTTGCTCCCAGGAGCACAGTTCTCGTTTATCATTATTGAAGTTATTGGTTCTCTTGAGGTGCAGCTGGGCTGGGGTGTTTGATAACTTGGAGCGATTGATTATATCATAAAAAAAAACCTTCCTTGCTGAAAGGTGAGTGTATCCTCATGGCCTGAAAACTGGGAACTTGAATGTCAGAGATGAATAAACGAGCTTTTATGTTTATTTAAAAACGAACTAATATATAAATATTTAAAATAAAATATTCATTTATTTAGCTAACTCTGTCTGAACATATTTTTAACCATGAATTTATATCTTTGTACAGATGTGTTATCAGTCATTTGTTTTATATAGATTTTACATGTATTTATTTAAAGGGTCATTACTGCTCATTTGCATAATTTCCTAGCAGATAGCCAGCAGTTCCTAGCTGCTCTTTGACCTTTAAATGCTGCCATCCAATGGCGATCACGATTGAAGGATAGCACATCTGAGACGAAGTGTCGATCCAATGTGAATTAATCAGAGAGGTGTCAGAAAAAAACCTGTTTTCCTAGCACTACCCCAGAGGAATTTAATGCTGATACATGTGAACCTGGAATCCATTAGATCAGCTGTGGTGTCCTCTGTGGATTGTTGAGGTTACCAGGTTAGCTTCAGCTCACTGTTGTACAGTGTATTTGAGTAATGAAGGCGGTGAAACTCTTTATTCCTGCCATACAATAGGCTCACGGCTGCAGCTTACAACTCCCCTGAGCTTTACTTGACAATAGCTACAGAACATTAGTGTTCCCCGGTTGGCCTTTATGTGTGTGCGAGTGTGTGTGTTGCATTTTTTTCCCACCTTTTGAGAGGACTAGACCCAGACATTTCTTATGTTTTGACAGGACTGATTTAAACATTCGTCCCTGAGGAGACAGTCAACTTCCTGTGTCCGCCTTAGCCAACTCATCACCTCTCCCAGTGTGTTTCCTCCTTCCTTCTATCTCTTTCTTTTTATTTCTGTGCTATTGCCACTCACATCAGTGTCACGAGCCACGACATGACCCACATGTCTATCTACCATCCTCATTTCCTTTGAATTGAATTGAAAATTGAATTTGTATGCTTATATAATTGTCATGATCATGTTTTCTTTAGTCTTGTTTTTAGTCTTAGGGGTCGTTTACACGACACCAACTAAAAACGGAAAACTTTTAATGCTTTTTGGGGGCCTGTGTGGATGGTGCTCACAAGTTTATTTTGTATAAATCCCGATATGTGCGTTTAAAATTACATATGCACATATGCCGGTTTTGTGCGTACATGCAAAGTTTATACATCAGCCACTAGAGCTGTTGATGCTATTTGACTAATTGTTCTGAAAAATGACATCAAGAATTTGCACAGTCCTTCATCTATCTATCCTGCTCTGTTATGTGAAAAGGCAGCAATGAAATAAAATGCATGCACTGTATATGTTGTTTTTTGACACAATAAAAAAAAAAAACTGAATAGACATTATGGTAAAAAATGCTTTTTAGGTGCAGATGGTGTGGTTTCTTTTCAGCAGGGGTTAATCGGACCATGCTAACCAGCCAAACTTTGACCCCTTGGTATTTATCACGCTAATATATTCTGCTTATTCAGGATGGATGGATCAAACATTTTCATCTGTCCTATCTGTTCTGTGTTTTATATAAATATATATATTATGTTTTTAATGTATTGTATTTCTCTCCTTTTCTGTCACTCTCTCCATCAGGCTCATCAAGGAATGCAAGAGCTTCCCTCAAGGCAGCAGAGAGTATTCTTCAGAAGTTGAGAGGAAGAACAGAGTTCACTCTTCTACTGACCCTCAAACAGGAGAAATTCAGCTCAGGAGTGCTGCTATCCATCCACTATGGAGAACAGAGGTATCCATTCATCCATCCATCCATCCATCCATCCATCCATCCATCCATCCATCCGTCCGTCCGTCCATCCATCCATCCGTCCGTCCGTCCATCCGTCCGTCCGCTTTTGCTCCCGTTAAACCTTCTTTCTATTATTTTTTTTCTATTTTAATTGACTGTTTCTCAGAGGAACACATAATCTCTTCTCCCGATGGAATGTCTGTAACATTTCTGATTAGAGTGTCCACTGACATTTCTTAAACACACACAGTATTGATTCTACCACATCTTTAAGGTCAGCACTCGGAGTACAGGCCAAGAGATTCATGGATCACTGCTCGTCTTCACATTCATTCAGAACTCACACATTCCCCATAGCTCCATTTTTTTCCCTGCTGCTTTTCCACATTCCAGAATTTAATAACAACCAATTGGCAGCTTAATCTGCAGAAGTATTGTGCATGAGAACATAAGAGCTATGGCAGCAGTTATTTCCCAGAGTTCTTATAAGATTTTAAGCAACTGATTCATGATTATGACTTTTCACGAAGTAAATCTGTTTCCTTGGCTTCCTTCTCAGGTTTCTGGAGGTAGAGAGCAGCGGTCTGCGTAATGAGATCCGTCTCTTCTTCCAAACCTCAGACCAGCGGCAGCAGAAAGAGGTCTTCCCCTATAGTCTGGCAGATGGACACTGGCACAAAATCTCCCTGGCATTCAGCGCCACCCTAGTGGTGCTCCATATTGACTGCAACAGGTGAATAGCTTGAAAATAAAAGGACCAACAGAGATGGATTTGAATGCCTTGTATTCGTACTTATCAGTGTTCACTCATTGCTTTTTATTTGTACTTGCTTTGAGAATTTACGAAAGGATTATGGAGACCCCATCTATGGACTTTCCCAGAGGAACAAACATCTGGCTTGGTCAAAGAAATGACGCCCATGGATTCTTCAGGGTACAACATAGCCTTGCACATTGAAAATTGACCATAAAATATGTAAAAGTTGTACATTAGTCCTGTCTACATCTTTCTGACTTGCTTTCTGCAATATCTTTCTGTCAGGGAGTGATGCAAGATGTTCAGTTGGTAGTCGTACCCCATGGATACATCGTCCAGTGCCCAGATCTCAATCGTAGTAAGTGCATGCTCTCTGTAGACGGCACAGAAAAAAAATGCACTTTGTTTACTCACTGGTCTGGAAATGCCATTAATGCACGTTCACCACTTTTGCAGCTTGTCCCACTTGTAATGATTTCCATGGGCTGGTTCAGAAGATCATGGAACTTCAAGATATTTTAGCTAAAACATCAAACAAGGCAAGTTAAAATGTTTAGCATTGGGGTAGCCTGACTTCAAAAACAGATTGTTCTGCTTGCTCGATTTATTTAATTATACTGAGCTAATGCAAAATAATTGTTGAAAAAAAAACTTACATTTTTATTCTGTGCAATGAATTTAAATGTGTAATATAGAAGTTTATTTAATCCATTTGCATTGGGACTAAATAATTCATTTGAGATGGGAATTTTCTAGTTCCCAGCATGCTTTGAACAGAACTAGATGAGAAATGTTGAAATTAAGCATTTTATGCAAAAAGCAATTTTGAGCAAAATGACAAAAGGAGGAGGTCTGTTAGGGTTAACTTGGGCTTTAAATGAGTTTTTGTTATACTTTGGGGGTTACTTATATGATGAAGAGCAGGAAAAAAAATATTACCGGTACTTAGGATGCTAATGTTGCTATTGTTAGTAGTTTAGAAAGGTATTGAGTTAGAGATGTGTTCAATTTTATTGGGACTTCATTTCTTTCCACTACACAAGGTTTGTAGTGTACGGAGCCCCAAGAGGGACATGGTGATGGAAAAAAATATGAGATGGGAGGAAAAAACATATTTTAATGCTTTTGCTTTCCCTCGAAAAATGTTGCGTTCTCCTGAGAAACTTTGTGTTTGCTCACAAGAGTTTTTTTGCACGTAAATACAAAGTTTCTCTGGAGAACGCAAACATTTTGTGAGCCAACGCAAAGTTTCTTGTGGGAACACAAAAGCATTGACTTATAATTTTTCCTTCAATCAATTTTTTTTGGTTTGTGTTAAATGTCACTAGTTTATATTTGCTATGGTCTGTTTGATGTCCTTAATAGTGAACACCACAAGCGCTGCCTTTATCATAAAACTCTTATTTCCCTCTCCTTCTAACATTAATTTTTTGCTTGCTCTTCTTTTTTTGTATCGCCTCCCGCTATATTGATTCATCATTCAGTCACAGCCTCTCTTCTTCCTTGTGTCTTTATTGTGCTGTAGTTGGCACTTGCCGAAGAGAAGATGAAGTACTTGGATGGATGTTACTGTGAGAGGACGTGTACCCTGAACGGAGAGATATACAGGGACGATGATGCTTGGATAGATGGATGCAGAAACTGCACATGCTCAGTAAGCTCATGTATTCCCAGGACGGGGAAACTTAGGATTGTTTGTTTGGGATTTTAAACAAGAGATGGCTATCCAAACTACAAACTCAAGGGCCGTTTAAAATTGCAAGTATTTTCAGTGACAAAGCAACTAGAAATCATTCTTTTTCATTGATAGTTGGCTATTTGAGACATGAATGACTGTGCAAATTATGGAAACAAGCTATGATGTGAATACTACGTGTGGGAAGCATTATTTTCCTGTACCCCAAGGAAACATGGTGATGTAAAAAAAAATCAATGATTTTAATGCTCTTACAAAACTTTTGCATTCTCTTGCAAAAGTATCACGTTCGCCCCAAAACTTTGTGTTCGCTCATGAAACATTTGCTTTTTTTTATAGCAAAACGATTGCGTTCCACAAGTGTAGCAATGTTCAGGGAAGAAGGAGGCGGGAACCGGAGAACAATCAAATAAAACTTTATTTAAATAAAATAAACAAACAAAATACCTGCCAGCAGTCCCTCACGGAACTGCTGGCTACCGAAAATAAAATATAAATACCTGCCAGCAGCCCCTCACGGACGACTGCTGGCTACCAAAATAAAATATAACAAAATACAAACAAAAGCAGGCCTGTTCCTCTCTCGATCATCCACTCCGTCGCTCCCCCTGGCTTCCGCTCCTCCGTGAGAGATGCGAGACCGGTGTGCTTCACAGGTGCTGCTCATTAGCAATCACAACACCGGCCTCGCGACGTTCTCTCACGTCCCTCGGCCGTCCTGCTCACCACAACAAGAAATTAAAAAATATAATTTTTCCTACTTTATTTCCATCATAAAGTTTTTGTGAGCGTGCAAAGTTTCTCAGAGGAAAGCTAAAGTTTTGTAGAAAACGTAAAAGTATTGAAATATACGAGATCTTTTTTAACATCACCATGTCCCTTTAAGCCGGGGCTCTGTAATATGGAAGCTTGTATCCACCATGAAATGGAAAAAAATACAAAATTCAGACTTTTCAGAATTCTCACAATTAAGACTTTTTTTCTCACAATTGCAAGTTTAATTTTCACAATTCTGACCTTTTTTTCATAACATGGAATATAGCGAGTTTATACCTCACAATTCTGAGAAAAAAAGTCTCAGAATTGTGAGATGTAAACTCAGAATTGCACGGAAAAAATGGCTGAATTGTGAGAAAAAAAGTCGCAATTACCTTTTTTGATTGCCTGCTTCCACCACAGAATAAAATATCCAAACATCCTTAAATCATTGATTTCCATTACAGGAGAGTAGATGTTAAAACTTCATGCTGATTTGCACTCGGCTTTCGCCAAGATAAGCACCAACTAAGACGTAGCTTTACAGTAACCTATGCGTCTCCATCCATTTACGCTTCCTTCCATATGGTGATGTGAATATCCTTCTGTCTGGTGTTAATGGCTGAAGTATATTTCCTGGCGCGTCAGCACACACAACGGCTGCGATGCTGGCTCCGGGGATCAGCCACAGTGCGGCCTCCCCAGCGGATCAGCATGACAACCGTCTGGATTGAGCTGAGTAGGGTACATCTCTGGGGTCTTCAAGTGGGCACCTTCCATCCTCAGTGTTTCGTCGACTAGCCCACGACACCTCAAGAGGGCTCGACAGTGATTCTGGCGTCCCAGAGTAACCCCCCTCCGTCCCCTTCTCAACTCAGCCCAGCTTACTTACCTGTACATCAGCGTTTCTTTCCTTCTTTGTGCTTGAGATCCCTCCGGCTGCTGAGGTTGCTCCTTCCTCGTAGTTCACTGGCATAAACCCTTGATGTGACCTAACCACAATCTCCTAACCACAATCTCTAACGCCACAATCTCACCGCATCCCGACCATACGTGCCAACCCGTTTGACTAAGGCTGTCGAAGCCCTACTGTCGTTGTTAAAGCAGGTTCAGTGGCAACGGTTCCGTATGGCATACTACCTACTGCAGCACACAACAACCGACCATACGCGCCAACTCGTTTGAATAAGGCTGTACATTTATTAAAGATTAAAAAAAAGCCATATTATAGTACAGAAGTTTGGCAAGTCTAGCTGTTTTGTAGTTGTCAGTGTTGGAACGCACAAGTATTTATTGGGATTTGTTTTAGTCTAAGTTGCCTGCATCACTCATGAAATGTCTGATTCTCTTAGCTTATTTTGCTGAATCATTTGATTGTGATGCTGTTTTATTGACAATGATGATGATGATGGTGTGTGTGTTCCATCTGCAGAATGGTACAGTGGAGTGTGAGAGTATTTTCTGTCCACCCCCTCAGTGCCCTCCTGATACAGCTCCAATCTACATGCATGGAGAATGCTGTAAAGAGTGCCAGCGTGAGTACACACACACACACACACACACAGACACACACACTCAAAATGAGGCCACGCATCTATAGAGCTGCATATATTTTACAACTTTTCCTTTCTCTCCTTTTGTCTCATGTTTGCTCCTTTATCTCTCCATCTTCTCGATTCTCACCTCACTATCTTTTCCCACCCAAAATCTTTTATATAATCATGCTGCGGTCTTGATGACAAACTGACCACATCCCTGTGTTGCTAGGTTACCGCTGCCACAAATGCGAATGTCAACACACACACAACGCTGTCACACACTTTCTCTGGTATCATTAATAATTCAAGGCCAGTGTGCAGCATGTTGTGTTTGAGTGAGCAGAGCTAATGTGCAGAAGCTAATAGCAGTTTGACTGATGACCAGGGCTTTATTTAACACTGTGCGCTCTGGTTGGCGTACCGGTAATCTAACATGCTTGTTCAATCGATGCTTTACTGGTTTGCGCTCTAAATCGCTTTGTTTTGTCTCTATTCTTTTAATTTCTTGCGTGTTCCTTGTTTTCTTCTTCTTTTTCTCTTTATATCTTTCCGTCTTTAGCCGTGTGTCTGTTCAGAGGAAGAGTGTACGTGGAAGGTGATCATAAGAGCGTACACGACTCTGAGGGAAACTGTCTGCTGTTTGAATGCAGGGTAAGTAGAGTAAGTGCAGGCCGATGGTCGGGAGGTTTTCAGCAGGCCCAAACCAGAATCTGATCCCTCTGCAATTTTCCAATTCTGTGGAAATCTGAGTTCTGCTGGTGCTGATTCTACCTGGGCCTAGTTATGAATTGGAATGCCAAGCAGCATGTGAATGCTGTCTGGGTTTGATTATGAATTTGAATTCCAAGCAGAATTTGAAGTCGATCTGGTTCTGGTTATATTTGTGTTGTATGGTAAGGAATTAGAATTCCAGGCAGAATTCGATTTTTTTTTTTCTCGGCATGGTTAGGAATTGGAATTCCAGGCAGAATTGGAATTTTGCATGAGTCTGGTTATAAATTAGAATGCCAAGCAGCTTTTGAATCTGAATTTGAATTCTATCTGGGTCTGATTCTGAATTTGAATTCTAGGCAGAATCTGAATTTGAATAATGTCTGGGTCTGTTTGTGAGTTTGAATTCAAGGATTTGAATTCAGGCTCAGAAACTAGCATCTTAACTAGCAGCTATTTTAACCTGGATGTTTGACTTGCAAGAGTAATTGCATAAACACTTGTTTGTGTGTTTGCAGGATCGAAGTATGCGTAGGGTTGAGATGACTACTTGTCCAGAGCTGAACTGCCCAGAGTCAGAGCAGATCACACTCACAGACCGCTGCTGCAAAGTGTGCAGAGGTGCGACACACTCACACACGCAGAACCAACACACACCTTCTTCACTCTACTGATTGGAGTCATATTAAGGCCAGCCACCTTTGACCACTGTGCACACAAACTAGATTTGTGCTCAACACCAAGCCATGACTGTGCATGACAGCAAACATCTTTTCCAGTCTTCACACATATCACCACACACACATAACACCCCAGTGTACCGGTGATGCTTCAAAGGCCAGGTAATGCTTGACTTTACCGCATCTCTCAGTTCACAGATCGAGCCACAGTGTGCAGTAACATTTTTGAACAATTTTGTAAATATAGCAATGTGAGACACATAGTAATTTTTGTTATGTTTTTTTGCTTTTTGTTTGCAAAAGCACTCATTTTTTTACATCATGATGTCATTCAGTTTACACTTCAATGTTTCACTATTTTTTAAAGAATCTTGTGGTGTGAAAATTTATTTTTTTAAAGTACAAATAGTCCTTAATAGACCATGTATTCTTTCTATTAATTTGAGATATATAAGCACTGCAAAATATATATTTTTTATTATTTTCTCAAATTTTCAAGTTAAAATATCTAATCAATTTATTTGACAAGCAACACTGCACAAGATATCGTTTCTTTACTTGTTTTCAGTGTAAACAAGTTAAACACTAGTGAAACCGGTGCAATAGACGAATGTACAGTTACATTTAAGATACAATCTATTAAAACAAGGCTTAATAGGCTTAGTAAACTGATTTTAAGGAAAACAAGTAAAATAGACCAATTAAAACCCCATTAAGAAGTCATTTATTAACAATTATAAAATAATTAGCAAAATGCTGTTTAAAATGGTTTTAGATGGTGTATAGCCTGTCACACCGCAGGACATGCGATGTCCCAAAACGTCCCAACATGGTATTTCATGCCAATTAGCCAGGAGTAGGTGAACAATAAATCCTCCCCAACTGAACGTACTGTATAGTTTTTCATCTATTAGTAGGAGCTGAAAATTTGTCAACACATGGGGGGAAAAGTGTCATTTATAATCCATCAATTATAAATGTCAGATTTAGGCATTGCAAGCACTTCTACTTTATCTCACTCCCAGGGCATGATTTCTGTGCTGATGGTTACAACCGCAATTGTGTGGAGAATTCGGACTGCATTAACCTAGAGGCAGGAGCTTGCTGCAGCTGTAAAGAGGGATATCATGCGCTCAGGGACGACAGCGCCTACTGCCAAGGTATTCAAACTCCCACAGACAAACCTGCCACATATTTGCTTGCTTAAAATTTCTGTTTTGTATAAGCAAATAACAGGGCTTTCACAAATCACTAAATTGCCTGCAATCACAGAAGGAGGAGTTGCCGATGAAAG